CTTCTTGGTGAATATTCCATGAGTGCTTGAGAAGAATTTTTATTTTGTTGCTAATCATTGGAGGATTCTATATATGTCAATTAGATCAATTTGGTTGATAGTGTTGTTCCAGTTTTCTATATCATTGCTGATTTTCTGTCTACTTTTATTTTTTTAAAGGTTTTTTAAATTTATTTACTTTTTGGAGAGACGGGAAGGGAGGTAGAAAGAGAGGGAGAGAAACATCAGTGTGTGGTTGCCTCTCACACGCACCCAACTGGGGACCTGGCCTGCAACCCAGGCATGTGCCCTGACTGCGAATTGAACCAGCGACCTTTTGGTTCACAGGCTGGTGCTCAATCCACTGAGCCACACCAGCCAGGGCTGATTTTCTCTCTACTTTTAGTATCCACTACCAAAAGTGGGGTGTTCAAGTCATCAATTATTATTGTTGGAATATCTGTTTATCTATTCAATTTTGTAAGTTTTTTCCATATATATGAGGCTTTTTTGTCAGGTATATATATGTTTATAACTGTTATAGTTTTTTGATTAATCAACCCTTTTATCAATGTAAAATGCTTTAACCCTTTAAATATTTCTCAGAGGTGTCATATTTCTCTCTATCCCACTACCACTCTAAAGTAGGCCTACATCAGCTCTTGAGTAAGTGCATTTTTCTAAAATGCAAAGCTAACATACCACTCCCTTGCTTGAATACTTTCTCTCCAATAATTACTAGATAAACTCTGTTAAGCCTGAGAGAGAAAGTAATCTTCCCAAAAGCAAATTAACACGGTGACAGAAAGGAAAAGAAATCAACAGAGACAAGAGGGAAGGAGGGAGGGGGGGCGGGGAAAAGGAAGGGAAGGGGAAAGTCAAGGAACATATAGCAAGGACTCATGGACAAAACCAAAGGGAAAGAGCTGAGGGAGGGAAGAAGGGAGGGGGCAAGGGAAAGTGGTGGGGGGTAGGCAGAGACAAATGTATTTGAAAAAATAAATTAAAATAAAATTAAAAAAAAAAGACAGTGACAGAGCTTAGACTACATTCTAGGTTTTCCAACTTCTGGTTGAATACTCCCTTTACTATATGTACCACTGAACTGTGCTCTGGATTGGCTCATACAATCTTCATTTAATTCTCCTTCTTGTTTGAGAAATTGGAAAGTCAAGAATTCCACTTTTTGTATTCCCTTGAATATATAGTTCTGAAGGAAAAATGGGGTCCATCAATTACAATCAATTTTTCAAGATTTGGAAGGCAAATGTAACATATTCCAGACACATTTTGCCTGTTTTTGCTGGCAAGTGAGTTGTGAAGACTTGAAACACAAATAAAATAACATTTTTGTGTTCGTTCACCAGCTTTGCATGCCAATAAGCAATTATGGCAATACAGCAGCAGCAGTGGTTTTTCGTTTTGACTTTCAGTTTCCTGGATCACATCTCTTGAAGTGTATTTTTGAATTGAAGGATGTAGTTGTAGCCTCATAGATACTAGCGACTCTGTTGGTCAGTTCTATATTCTTCTGGGAGGTATTCCTTGAGACTTAGCCTAGAATATGTTTCTCCTTTCCCTCCAAGTAGTTTGTAAGCATCCAATTTTCTATATTAAATTCCTTCCTATATCTAAAATTCAGGTGCGTTTTCTGCTTCTTTAATGAACCCTGATTGATACAAATATCTCCCAAATTATAATTATGACCTCTTTAAAATTGGACACATGCTGTTAAATGCCACCTTTTTGCTTTATAACAAGGTATCTCTATTGCCTATATACAAGAGTGGTTCCATTCTAAGCCTTAGTGTACTTTGTCATCCACCCCCACAATGGGGTCAATACATGGCTCTCCCAGCACTCATGATGAGGGCTGGCCAAGGGGCCCCTGGCCAGAAGGAATGTGTATTGCTTTGGAAATGGATTACAACTTCCTCCTTATCTCCTTTTGGGAGTGGCTTCTTGTCCTGTGACTGCTTCTTGAGCTTTTCTTTCTGCACGTACACACTGAGATAATGTAGTTTAGAGTCATGCATAGGACACATGACTCCTTTGTCTGGGAGCCCTTATAATGAACCTCAGACCGGAGGAGGTGTGGTCTCTCTCACACCAGCCTTCTGCTGTCAGTGCACTCCCCTGTAATGTGAGTAATAAATGGCATGTCCACATCTGCTAGTCCTCAGAGTGGTTTTTTTAGAATATCACAAACACTTAAGCAGCTCTGTAGTTTGGGGCTCCCATTCTACACCCTCCCCCAACCAGGGGCTAGATTCTGCTGTAAGAAATCATCCTCTGCAGAATTAGTCAAGGAGCCAATAATCAGATCAATCTTATTTCTTTGCCTATTAGTCAAAGTGTTCATATATTCAAACCACTAAACCTTTATTGAAATAAAGGCCTTTATTAACATGAATTTGTTACTATACCATCTTCCAGTTTCTGTTTTCCCATTGGAGGAGGTGTGAGAGTCCCCAAACTCACTAAGAACAGAGCAGTTCTCTCTCTGCCGAAGTAGACTAGTACTATCATGGAAAAATTATTGGATGCTTACAAGTAAGAATACAAAGGTACTTTTTACTTCCTCAGTTGCTTTACATCTTTATAATGGTAGCTTTTGCAGAGTTAAGGCCAGTTCCATGTCAGATTTAGTCAATACACAATTTGGCAAGGCAAAGCTATATTCAAGGGACCGATAAGAGTATTCTTTCTTCTACTATTTCTCCAGAAAGTAGTCAATACTCCAACCTGTCAATTCAGGGTATTCACATTTCCAGAAATTTTCAGTGTTAGTCAAGACTCTTCATAGAAACAGAATTAACATGAGATTATATATGTGGGTTAGCAGACTGGAGGCCCATGGAAAAATCAGAGCAGTAGTTCCAATCCAAATGCTGTTAGGCTGAGAACCCAGGGAAGAGCTGATGTTGCAGTTCAAAGATTTTCTGCTGGAAGAATTCTCTCTTGGTGTGGGAGGTTAGTGTTTTGTTCTATTCATACTTTCATCTGATGAATGAGGCCCACCCACAGTATGGAGAACAATCTGCTTTACTCAAAGTTTACCCATCTAAGTGTTAATCTTATCCAAAAACACCCCACAAAAACATCCAGAATAATATTTGACCACATATCTAGGCATCATGGCCCAGATCAGTTGGCACATAAAATTAACCATCATACTATCTAAAAGAGGTTCATTCTCCTAAGAAATATATAAGGTATGGAAAAAGAGGGAAATAGAGTGTCAGAATGTTATCCTTAGATTGGTGGATACAGTAGGGGTCCATAAATTTCTCCTTTACCTCTCCCAAGGAAGTGCCTATGAACTGGAAAGTTCAGACAAATAGGTAGGCTGAAGGCCCTTAGTATTTTATAGGGTTCAAGATTTGTAAGCTTGCTCTTGAATTTCTCTTCAGATGTGGCCTAAAGTTTTGTCAAAAGGAAGAGAAGTGGCAAAAGCAAGTAAGTCCGTCTGCAAGGATTATTATATGCTTTATAATACTTTAAAAAATGGAATGCTGTCCATTTATTAAAATAATAAAGTGATAATTAGAAACATGGAAAAATAGTTCAAACAACACATTATTACATTTATAAAATAGTTCATGTTAAACCATTGCGTATTTAAACAAAAATTGAAATAACATAAAGATATGCTGATGGACATGAGGTTTCTTTTTGGAGGGATGAAAAATTCCAAGATTGTGGTGATGGCTGTACAACTCTGAGTATTCTAAAATCCATTGCATTTCACATTTTAAGTTGGTGAATTGTATGACATGTGAATTATTATCTCTCTATATATATATATATAAAACCATTCAAACAAAAAGATAACACAAAGTAAAAGCATTTTTTATAATGGTGTTGTAGAATTCTGGGCAAAATGTCCTCTCCTTTTATAAACGATTCTTGTAATTTAGGAAAGAGGTTCTTTGAACCACTATAACTTCAGGCATTTACCTCGTTTTTATTTCTGAATCTGTACATTGTTGTATAATTACTTTATGTACATTATGTAAAAAACACAAGCTTCCATTATTTTTCTGAATAATCTTAATATGACATTATTAGCAAGTTAGAGAGGATGATGATGTACATATTCTATGGATCTCCAGATTTATGGATTTGTGGGTCTCAGTTTTTGACATTTGCAAACTGGCTTTCTTAGAAAAGAAGAAGAACCAGCTACCAAAGTAAACCATGATAAAGAGAACCAAGTATTACTTTGTATTCTCTCTTCCTCACATCCAAAGAGGAATCTATTTCACATCCTATTGAATAAGTGATGCCCCTCCTCTTAAAATTAATATGTGAATTTCTCACAGAAGACAGGAATAAGCCTTGTATGTAGCAGTGAAGGACACTGAAGAATAATTTTAATGTCCAGACAATATCAGGGTTGTGAAGAGGAAGAAAAAGGTATTGCATATTGCTCCTTGACCCAAACTGATTGAACACCCTTGCCCTTTTTTTCTTTTTGTACAAGGAGTGTTTTGGTGTCCTATCTGTGGATTTTCCTCATGGATTCATCATCAAGAGTTTTGTTTGCAAGACACTAGCAGGTTGAGCCCAACTTGAGAGCTGTTTGGGGGAAGATTATGAGGATATATCTTTTTAACAACTTTTTTTTTTAACAGTTTGCAACATCAAGCACACAAGAGAGGAGTAAGAAAGAGGTCCTGTTGGGCTTCGGACCAGCAGGGAAAACCAAGAATGGAAGGGTAAGCCAATAAGGATATCGATGAATAATAGTAGTCAAATAGACTGGGCAATGATAGTGGGCTAAGAAGAATGGGAGAGGAACTGACAAAGGAAGGATGGGCTGAAGGAGGAATGGTAGTGCAGGTCAATGTGACCAAAAGGAGGAAACGTGAAAGAAGCAGGGTGGGTTAGGAACCTGGGCACCGAGGAAGTGACAAGTGTCTTAGACGGCCTGAAGGTTAACCTGGAAGAGCCGGAGGCGGGTGGGGGTGTGGAGAAGAGGGCGTGCTCAGCGCATGCGCTGGAAGCACACTGCAGCGATTTAGCAGAGGCAGTCCTTTCCTGACCTCAGCGTTGCAGCTTGAGGCTCTGCTCGTCTTTGCCTGCTGTCCACTACCACCCTGGCCTGCTGCTGCCACTCTGGCACCGCGAAGTCTGTAACGCCGCTCCCTCTTCCCCGTCTTGGGACGGCTGGTACTAAAAATTCATTCTACGATACTCGCTTCAGCCACTAGGTAAAGGAACGACAGGAGGGAAGAACATGGAGGGCGGCGGAGGGAGCTGGGGCCAGGGAGATCTTTAATTTTCTGTGTTCTTGTTCACGAGAGGGAAAAAAATGGGGGAAGAGTACGGGCCTCAGACTATAAAACGGTGTTGAGCATGTACTTACCATTGTGAAAGAAATACAGACTCCTTTCCTCTAACCAGGATTGAGGCAGCTGAGCGTCAGTGTTTTTCATAATGTTCCCTGTTAAAAAATTTTGAAGTTCCCTTTATATAGCAGGTGTATTTAAAGGACTGGGCTTCAGGACTAAGCTCTGATTATGAGAGCTTTCTTTGCCTTTATTGAGGGTGGCGGGTCTTATTTCTAAGTCTAAGAGTATTCTAGTCTCTCTCTCTCTCTCTCTCTCTCTCTCTCTTTCTCTCTCTCTCGTAGTCGAGGCGGATTCCGTCTAGATTTTGTCATCTGCTTGAGTCACCTGGAACGTGGTCTTTGCTGTATTCCACTTCCCTAGTTTAACACACCTACCCCCATTAGGGAAGAATGGGTATTTTTTAGCTCTGGGGCACAACTGCGGTGAGAAACACGTCTAGATAATCACCAGGCTTATGTATATAGGAATATACATATACACGGTATAAAGCGGAGATAGGAGGACAAAATACGAAACGTTGGAGATGTTGTGCGTGTGTGACAGGCTGGAGGGAGGAGGTGCAGCAGCGGGCAAGGATATTTGAGAGGGCCTGACGTGAGAGAGGGGGCGCATGCGCAAGACTTAGAGCAGGAGAGGGTCGAAGGCGTGTTTAAAAAAGCAAAGTTGCTAGTAGTTGGAAGTCACTTTTCGGAGGGAGCATGTGGGTGTGATTGCGTATTTGAGAGAACACGGACAGGACAGTTGACTTTAACGGTAATGGAGAGGCGCGCAAGTGTATTTCTGAAGGGATGAGGGATGGGAGGTGCACCGCATATGCGTAATTAAGATTGCGAAATGGCGAGGTGGGAGGTAAGTTAATCTTTGGCTATCTTGAGGCTGCAGGACTTGCAGAGAAGCATATATACATTTATAGTTGAGTGAAGAGAGCAGCCTGAGTTGAGTTCCATTGGACTGTGGCCAAATCCACCAGAAATTAATCCAGAATCTTAGCCTGTAGATTCCTAGCCTGTCACTGGCCTATTGAAACTATGGGTTTAAAAATTCGGAGGCGATGTTGACTCCACAAGGTTGCGGCAGCTGGCTGTGTGTGTAGGAAATGCATAAAACGAGAGCATTTTCAGGAGGCCTGCCACTATCAGGCTCTACACATTTGGGGGCTGTCAGACTTGCAGGTCTTGGGCTGCTGTACTTGTCTCTGGACACTTTTATTCCATCAGAGTAGCACAACACAGTAGTTGCAAAATAGTGAGAATCTACTGTTACGATGTGAGCAGCCCTTCATTTTCTACCCTTGGTAAGGGAATGGAATAAGGTTTTTGGCTGTGCTTTCAAATGCTCATTACACTTTGCTTTAAACCTACGATTTGGGCAAATGGTAATCGGTGGTATGAAGGTGACCTGGGCTCACATCCTTTTTTCTAAATTATTTTTTTTTCTGTAGAACTTTGAGCTCGGTTTTGTCTGGGAGGAGGATGATTTAGTTTTATTTTTATGCATCTGTACTGTCATATCTATCAGAGAGCTGTCAATGAGGATCTATTGTTAATTGCTAAAAGATGAACTTAGATCTGTAGTAGAAAGGGCACAGGATTCAAAATTGAGGAGACAGGTCTTTTCCAGTGATCCTAGCTGTGATCTTATACTGGTCCTTTTCCTTCTCTGGTCCCGTTTCCCTATCTATAATAGTTATTACATTTAAACTTCTACAGCACTTAAACTATGCCAGGTTACTGGTCTGTGTGCTTTTACACATTTCCTTGACTCATGTAGTACTTTCAACAATCTTAGGAAGTTGCATCACCATTGTTCATCTTTTATAAATGACAGATTTGAGGGACAAGGATTAAGTAATTTGTCCAAGGCTTTACAGAAAGGAAAGAATTGTTGATTTGGAGCCTGGTGGGGTGGCCATCCTTATCTAACCTTGTCATCTGTGCTTTTTTGTTCTGGAGAAGATTTAAAATGGCCGACTATGGCAGGCTGGACACACCCTTCTCCTTTTTGTCCGATTGGAGATCTGGTCTAATGCTTTGAGACAACCAGCCATTTGCTGCAGTAGAGATTTTTGTTACCCCATTATTACTATTTTGGTGTGTTAATATAAATGTCTAATAATAAAGAAAAGGTTGTTGCTTTTTTTTGTATACTAAAAGACTGAAAATACTTGCATTTATTTTATTATTTGGTTAGGATAGATACCAAAGTAGAATTACTACATCAAAGGGTATGAACATTTTTAACATTCAGCATGTATTGCCACATTTCTTCCACAAAAGATTGTACCAATTTTCACTCACTCACACAAGCATTGAATAGTGTTTGGTTTTGTAAAAAGTATTTTATGGGTAAAAACAGTATTATTTTAATTTTGTATTTTTTTGCTTATTAGTGAGTTTGTATTCTTTTTTCCTCCATATATTTCTTACCAGTTTTATTTTCTTTCATGTGATGGTAGCTCATGTCTGATTTTTATGTAGGAGTTTTAGTTTAGCACTTATTGTTATTATCTATTTGAATGTGTTCTGTAAATAAAGGCTATTACTCAGATTTCTGTACTATTTTATACACACACACACACACTACAGGTTATTGTTTGCCTTTAGATCATGAGGTTAAATTTCTCTGTCTTTTGTGACTTTTCTTCTAATGTTTATGTTTGAATAGTTCACTCAATCTATAAACTTAGTAAATATTACAGCTCTGTCTGAGGATAACATCAAGCATAGGGAAAAATCCATAATTTCACTACCCAGAGATAATCAGTATTAACAAATATATTCACTTCTTTTCATTCTCTCTTCATTTTTTACAGTTGCTCATATATTTGTACGATTTATATCATATTTTGTCTTTAACATTATAACATGCATTTCTTCATATTAAACATTCTTTGTAACTGTTATTTAATGGTTTTATATTTTCTTGTATGGAAGTATTTCAAGAGTTTCAGTATTTTGAATTATGTAATCAATGTCTTCATTTAGTTTTTTTTCATTGTTCAAATACATTTGTCTCCATTTTCCCGCCACTACTCCCCCGCCCCCTATCCACCCCCCACCTCCCACCCTCAATCCTTCCTGACCTTGGCTTTGTCCATTGGTCCTTTATACATGTTCCTTGACTTGACCCTTTCCCTTCTTTTCCCCATCACCCCCTCCCTCCTTCCCTCTTGTTACTGTTGGTTTCTTTTTTCTTTCAATGTTCCTTTTCATTTAGCTTTTATTGTTTATCTATTTTGAGTTATTTCTTTATAGAATATAGTTTGAGACTTAGAATTATTCATCAAAAAGTTTGAACATTATGAAAACTTGCCATAATAGAGTTCCAAAAAATTACATAAATTTTTGTACTCACTCATTTAGGTACTTAAAATTTTTTTCTGCTAACTATATGTAAAAGAATGGTATCTTTGTTTTATGATACGTTTTCTCTTATTATTTATTGGTGAGGCTGGATTCGCAAGTATTATTATTAGCTCATTTCCTTTTGGGATCTATTCAATTTGAGTCTGAATGTTACCTGTTTGTAAGAGCTCTATATTATGTGCTCTATATAAGGATCTGTTACCCTATCTCATTTGTTGCAAATGACAAATGTCATTTGTTGCACATACACTCCTGGTATATGTTTATTGTCATTGAGTCTAAAAAAAGGTTTGTGATTCCAAAGACAGCTGCTGAGTGGAATGCATGTCAGATTCTTGGTAGCCAATTTGAGATAACACTTGTCTGTCATGTAAGTAGATAGCCATTTATTTTTATCTAAAAGGAAAGCATTCGTGAGTTCTGCTCAGCAGTGGTGCTCCCTGGCTATGGGTGTGGGTAGAAGACATGGCAACATTTTGTCCCTAGTAAACCGAATTAGACAAGACACAAAACAGTAGTACTCTCTTCCCCTCCATGCAGGAACTGATCTTATTTTGAATATTTATGAGTGATCTGGGGGAGGATATGGGTGTAGTGTAGTGTCCACATGTCTAGATAACACTAAGGTCTTCTGCGATATAAAATGCTAATAGGAACAAACTGCAACACCCAAGAAAGCATTGTGAGTGTGAGCTGACAATTGGCGGAATGGAACAGTGTAGGCAAGACCAGTGTGATGACTTTAGGGGGAATCTGTTTAATTATATTTATTAAGTAATTTTTTAAATTATTATTCCCATTCCATGAGCTGTATTATACTATCTCTTTTATACTTAGTAACATTCTAATTTTAAAAAATTTTCAAAAAAAATTTTTTTTCCAGTGAAGAGATGATTGGATTTAGAGGTACTGGGGAAGCTGTTATTTACTGCATTTTACTATCCACTTACACTGGGTTAATCCCATTTTCAGCATTTTGCTACTTACAGATGTTAAATCAGGCTTATGTGTGTGGTGAGGTGGTTGGCAGATGTATATTAAGCAAAACAAAATGGAACAACAGTAAAGCTTGTATTGTAGAGGAGGCACTAAAGGTCTGTTCTCATCTTATGAATGGAGATGGGAGTCCCATTTTACATCATGCCAGTGTCTAGTTCCCAAATTCATCTATGATTAGCAGTTAGGAAGAACCTGGATTTTGGAAGTAGCCTAAAAGCATATAATCTTTGATTTCTACAATTTGTTCCTCCCTTCTCTATTAACGTTACAGCCAGCAGCAGTGTGGAATAGCAACCCCTGGAAATAAATTTTATATCAGCCATTATAATACAACCTGTTACAACACTTACCAGGTTGTATTGTAATTGTCTGCATATTTGGCTCCCTGCTCTTCCTACATTATCAGACTGTGAGGTCCCTGAGGGCAAAGACAGTGTCTTCATTTCCAGAACGCAGCCTGGCACATTAGTAGGCCTCAGCAAATGTTCATTGGGTGAATAAATGAATGACTCATCAACAAACATTTATTGTGTACCTGCTAAGGTGATCTCCATAAGCTCTGCACTGTCAACTCTTTCTTCAAAATGCATGTGGTCAGAAACTTGGTATTTCTTTCTAGTTATGTATATATATTCTTGGGTTTCCTGAGATAAAGCTATTCTTGTATTTGGATTTCAGTCCTTGGCATTTACATATGTTGCTATTGTTGTTACTGCTGAGAGTCTCTTCCTTGGTGGGACTTGGATGATAGCTGCCGGATTAGAAGCCTCATCTTCACTGCCCAGTGTTTGCTAAATGGTTCCTATCTGTAGGCTCATCCCCTTTTCACTCCTCCACAAGTCATCTTCCAAATGGCGTTCCTAGATTGGGCTCCATATTCTAGATCAGGGGTGGGTAAACGCAGTTCATGGGCTGCCTGGTTTTGCAAATAGTTCTGTTGGAACACAACCATACTCACTTGTTGATATTTTGTCTGTGGCCCCATAGGTTAACGACAACAGAGTTGACTAGCTACATCAGACATGCTGGCCCAAAAGTCCTGGTCCTTTGCAGAAAAAGATTGTCTACCTTGTTTTCGATCATCACTCTGCAGTGATGGTTTCATTCCCCTCTCCATTCACCACGATATTTTTAGCATCTTAGAAACTCATTTATTTACCTCACTCATTATTGCTTATGACAAGTGTTTTTCCTGTTTTACAGAGGGTCTAGCTACTATACGCTTCAAACTAGGAGATTATAAGGCCTCCTACAGGGTTGTATGGGTTGGTCAGTCAGTTGTACTGTGTACTTCAACTACAAGTTTTAAGGTTCAACTGTAGAAATCCCTTTTGTTACAGCCTAACTTGAAGCACATGAACATATCATGCCTTGGTGCTTTATCTCTTACTCTCCTCTTTAAACAGCTCTTTGCAATAAGAATATGTTGTAGAAAATAAGGAGTTAATGTGATAAGACAGAAAAGTAGGATGAGACAAATATTTAGAGAATCTGAATGCCAATTTTTAAATGAAGAAATGGGGTTTCTGAAATAATCACTTATTCAGACTTACACAGGTAGTGAGCCTGGTTTTCCGAGCTTGGGGTTCTCCCCTCTAACCCTCCCTAACCTACTACACATTGTCTTGGTAACCTGCCTGTGAGTATATTGTGATTCATTTCACTTCATTAAAAAGTTGGAGAGCTCCAAGTCCAATGCAAGAAAGTTAGATATAAAAAAAACAAAATGGAGAAAATATCAGACAGTCTTATTCTAGAAGCAAAATGGAGGGAAAGGCCTTACAGCATTATGTTGAAGCTGCTTACTCTATTTTCTCGAGCTGTTTATTATGCAAAATTTGCATACAAACATGCAAAGAAAAAAAATTGAACATGCATACAAAAAAACATGCATACAAAAAAATTTGAAGTAATTGTAGTTAAAACCCACATACCCACCACCTAGATGATATAAATAACATTTTGCTATATTTACTTTGTTGCATACTCATTCATCTTTGTTGGATATGTTTTTAAAATATTTGTTTTGTCAACCTTTTGGATCTTATTTGTATCTGACCCATCATGGTGCTGAAAAAATAGTTCCTTTTGATTCTTATCTGTATTTTCCAAGTTGGCATGGATACCACTGTAGCATAATTATGTATAAGCAGATCTACTTAGAAATGAGAGTCCCAGGGGCAGAAGCCATTTTGTTTCTGAAATGAAATGGTTGCAGCTCATTGCTGTTTACTGGAAATAGTAGGAGAAGAAAAGACAGAAGTACAGGTACAGTGTGAATGAATCCTTCCAACAATGTACTGCCCTATACTTTATTAACTTCACTGGCTTGTGGGACAGATGATTTTCTGAGCAGCTTCCACGTGGTTCTTTACAGTGAATTCACATCAGATGTCACTGAGGTGATACTCAGCATTGACACAGCTCCTTGGAATTTTAGCAAATAGATTTTTAATTTGGACTAGTATGTAATAATATTCTTTTACACCTTTTCTGTTAAAAGCAACTGTAGAGTTAATTAGGAAGCACCACAAACTGAAATGTTATCTTTATAATATAATAATGGTGAATGTTACCTTTTTGTGTCTATATCCCTTCATTTAAGCCCAAGGGCAAAGGCCATATTTTACTTATATTTGTAGTTTTCTTAGTAATAAGTGCTTACATTAATAAAATACATTATTACATTTAAAACATATCACATGAGCAAATATATGCCTAGTATATTAATTGGAAAAAAGGCTACAGAGCAGTAGTATGGTTTCATCTAATTTTTGTGGGAAAAAATATTCATGTTTGTATATGCACATGAAAGTAGTTAGAAGAAAATGCCCTAAGTGTTAAACTTCCTGGGATTCTGGAATTTTTACTTTCTATCTTTTAATGCATTTCTGGAATTTTTTTTAATATGCCTTTTGGTTTGCAGGCCAGCAGTCAATCCACTGAGCCCCACCAGCCAGGGCCTTTGTGACTTTCAAAATTCGGCAAACATTGAAACTATTTCTATTTTGAAATGTGTTGACCTAAACAACAGTGGAATAAATGGGGTGTTGAGGGGGTTAGAACCTGGAGCAATTTACTTTGGAAAAGAGCTGGGTGGTCTGGGAGAAGGGAGTGGTGAGAATAAGATCTCTGTCTTGAGAGGAAGCCACTAAGTACCAGCTACTCTATTCTTGCTTCTTAGTGCAGGCATTTTCACATATCAGAGTTTTACACTTAACATTTATTTCCCAATTAGACCCTCTACACATTCCTTTAATTGCTAGTGGCAGCAGATACTTGTGGGCATGTAGACCTTGCTCTAGTAATAGCTGCTTTACTTTATCCAATAAAGAGATGGCTCAGATCCATCAAGGATCCGGTCCCTGGCCACCCACCTCCAATACACATTTGGCAGCACAAATCTATGGTGGGAGAGGTTTTTGCTGGGGTATTCTGATCATAAGTAGACAAAAGGATATACTTTTTTGCTGGTGGTAGGTAAAATAGTTAAAAATGAGCCCTGAGAAATTTTTTCCTAGGATTTGAGGGTTGCCTGCCTCACAATGCATAAAAGGAAACCTAGTAGCACTAGCTGGTGCTGCCAGCATCTAATGATAATAATTAATAGCCTGGGCTTTGGGCCATTGCTGAATTGCCAGAGTCCTGCATTGCTTCTCATGCTAAGCAGCTAAGAACTGGGAAATGTAGAGGCAATAATAGGTGCTTCTTTAGAAAGAAGCACCCCTTGGGGTTGTCTTTGGCTTATCCTATGTAACTCTCAGAGTCCTGTTCCTCCTAGTGTTTCAGTCTTGGAGATAAGGACTAACCAAGGGCCTACATAGCTTTTTGTCATCCTTTTGGTAGCGCAGGCAGCTGATAAGGTAAAAGATATGTTCAAATCTTTTTCATATACGGGTAAGGTGAGTCCTGGTAGGAGTTGAGACTGTAAATAACAGGTGTTCGTCCGCAGCCGAGGGTTTTATTACCTTTTTTCATCAGTGTGAACCAAATGCCATCTGATAATTAGATGGAGGTTTCATTCAATTTTACGGGGCTCTTTTATTCAGGAGTATGGAATGAAAGAACATAACTGCCTGACATGGAAGAACCTTTAAGAAATCAAGTTTACCTGCATTCAAGCACAAGAATATTGAGATCTAAAGAGGGAAGGACGTGCAGGCAACTAAAAAGGTCACCATCAGAGTTCACATCTGAGTTCTAACACTTTGGTATAGTTACTTGGTGACTCTGTACACAAGTTACATAAGTTTTATCTTATTTAAAATGGAGGCAAAAATCCTTATTAAATAATTGCAGGCAGTGTAGCACTTTGCCAGATAAAGAACGTAGTTGTGATGCTAATAACGCATCACAAGTGAAATCTGAGGTTCATGCTGTGGGCTGGATGACTTGACATGGTGTAGTAAAATTAAAACTAGGTTTCAAACCTTCACTGTCCATCTTACAGTTTTTCTTCTTCCTTCTCCCAATCCAATAGGTGACAATAAATGAGATCAAAAGCCATTCCACTGGTTAAGAAGTATATTGAGCCCTGCCTGCCCCAGTGATATCACTAGAGAATTAGGAGAAACTCAAATCAACGTCTTGCAGGTGGTTGTCAAACCATTCTGAAGTCTTGGTAAGTGGTCAGTGGCTTTGGTGGGTTTGCCCAGTTAGTGGGAAGGGGCAGAGAAGGTAGTCTTAATAAGCACTAGGTCTGGTGTTTTTCCATTATGATATAAAAACAGGTCTTAAAATATTCAAACTACACTTGACAGTAATCAGCCTAACCTCTCCTTTCCTCATTCTCCCATTCAGAATGGTAATGCCACACTTGGCCCCCTTCCTTCAACAGACAATTATTAAATACTTACTAAGTGTCGGAGACTGCTCTAGATATTAACAAAGTTTTGCCACCATGGAAGTTTCATTCTTGTGAAAGTAGACAAAGGAATTAATAACGAGTAAATGCATAATGTATTATAACTGTTAGGAGAAATTTTTTCATTCTGGTGTGAAAGTTGCATTAAAAATAGTAGGGTTAAGTGATTCCACTGCTGGGATTATACCCTAAGAATCCTGTAACACCAATTCAAAAGAACCTATGCACCCCAATGTTCATGGCAGCACAATTTACAATAGCCAAGTGCTAGAAGCAATCTAAGTGCCCATTAGTAAATGAGTGGATCAAAAAACTATGGTACATTTACACAATGGAATACTATGCAGCAGAAAGAAAGAAAGAGCTACTACCCTGTGCGACAGCAGGGATGGAACTGGAGAGCATCATGCTAAGCAAAATAAGCCAGGGGGTGAAAGACAAATACCATATCATCTCACCTATAAGTGGAACCTAATCAGCAAAGCAAGCAGGCAAGGAAAATATGACCAGCAACATTGAAAGAAAAAAGAAACCAACAAAATCAAGAGGGAAGGGGTGGGGGGGAGAGGGAAGGAGTTGGGGGGAAAGGGAAGGGAAGGATCAAGTCAAGGAACATGTATAAAGGACCCATGCACAAAGCCAAAGTGGGAAAGGATTGAGGGAGGGATGGGGGGTGGTGGGGATGGAGACAGGGGAGGGTGGTGGCAGGAAAATGGAGACAAATGTATTTGAACAATAAAAAAATTTTAAAAATTAAAAAAAATAGTTGGGATAGACTACACAACACCTTGTGTTTTTCCCCCCACTTCCCATTCCCTACCTTTTTATTGTTATTCTATTACAGTTGTCCAAATTTCTCCCCCTCTGACCTCATCTGCCCAGCCCACCCACTGTTCTCACAGTCAGCCCCCACACCATTGTCCATGTCCATGGGTCATTCGTACACGTTCTTTGACTAGTCCTTGCCCTTCTTTCCACCATTATCCCCTCCCCTGGCTGCTGTCATTCTGTTCCATGTTTCTATGTCTCTGGCTTTGTTTTGCTTATTAGTTTATTTTGTTCATTAGATTTCTCTTATAAACGAGATCATATGGTATTCACCTCTCATATGGTATTCACCTTTCAGTGACTGACTTATTTCACTTAGAATAATATTCTTCAGTTCCATCCATGCTCTCGTGAAGGGTAGGAGCTCCTTTCTGCTGCGTACTATTCCATTGTGTAAATGTACCAGAGTTTTTTGATCCACTCATCTACTGATGGGCACTTAGGCTGTTTCCAACACTTGGCTATTGTAAATAGTGGTGCTGTGAACATAAGGGTGTGTAAGTTCTTTTGAGTTGGTGTTTTGGGATTCATAGGGTATAATCCCAACAGCAGATAATCGCTAGATCAAAAGGCAGTTCCGTTTTTAGTTTTCTGAGGAAAATCCAACTGTTTTCCACTGTGGCTTCATGAGTCTGCATTCCCACCAACAGTGCACTAGGTTTCCCTCTTCTCCACATCCTCACCAGCACTTGTTGTTTGTTGACTTATTAAATGATAGCCATTCTGACAGGTGTGAGGTGATATCTCCTTGTGGTTTTAATTTGCATGTCTCTGATGGCTAGTGATGTTGGAGTATCTTTTCATATGTCTGTAGGTTGTCTGTGTGTCCTCCTCAGAGAAGTGTCTATTCAGGTCCTTTGCCCATTTCTTAATTGGATTGTTTGTCTTCCTGGTGTTGAGTTGTATAAGTTCTTTATATATTTTGAAGATTAAACCCTTGTCTGATGTATCATTGGCAAATAAGTTCTCCCATACGGTCAGTTCGCTTTTCATTTTGATGATGGTTTCTTTAGCCATGCAGAAGCTTTTTAGTTTGATATAGTTCCATTGTTTATTTTTCCCTGTATTTCCTTTGCTGTAGGAGATATATTGGCAAAAATATTGCTATGTGGGATATCTGAAATTTTACTGCCCATGTTTTCCTCTGGGACTCTTATGGTATCATGAGTTATATTTAAGTCTTTTATCCATTTTCAGTTTATTCTGGTGTGTGATGTAAGTTGGTGGTCCAGTTTTTGTTTTGTTTTGTTTTGTTTTTTTTGGCATGTACCAGTCCAGTTGTCCCAACACCATTCATTGAAGAGACTCTTTTTACTCCATTGTATGCTCTTGCTCCCCTTGTCAAATATTGATTGGCCATAAAGACTTGGGTTTATTTCTGGGCTCTCTATTCTGTTCCATTGATCTATGTGTCTGTTTTTATGCCAGTACCAGACTATCTTGATTACAGTGGCCTTGTAGTACAGTTTGATATCAAGTGTTGTGATTCCTTCAAGTTTGTTCTTTCTCAAGATTGCTGAGGCTATTTAGAATCTTTTTTGGTTTCATATAAATTTTTGGAGTATTTGTTCTAGATCACTGAAATATGCCATTGGCATTTTAATAGGGATTGAGTTGAATCTATAGGCTCTTTGGGTAGTATGGACATTTTAATGATGTTAATTCTTCCAATCCATGAAAAGAGTATATGCTTCCTTTTATTTGTATCTTCCTCAATCTCTTTCTTCAGTGCTCTATAGTTTTCTGAGTATAGGGCTTTTACCTCCTTGTTTAAATTTATTCCTAGGTACTTTATTTTCCTTGTTGCTATAGTAAATGGGATTTTCCCCTAGTTTCTCCATTTTCCCTTTTAATACCAGCGCTGAGTATGGAAGGGTCATAGATGATGAAAGTAATCTTTTTTTCTCTTTGTAACCCTGCAATAGGCTGAATTGTGAAGGATATCTTTGAAAAGCATTTTCAGAGAGTTCACCAGATCTTCCATGTAAATGGACATGCAGCAGGAGAGGGGGTCCTCTCAGTGATTAAAGTAACTAGGGGGAGAAAGCCTGACATTGCCCTGAGTTCTGTCAGGGAGGCTCTTAAAAATACCATTTTGGGGGGCCAATACTTTCAAAGTTTGCAGTTTATAATACATTTTTCTCAAAATAATTGGAGTAAATTATATTCTTTCCCAGTTTGTGATCATCCCTGCAGCGTATTAGAAAAACTGAAATGGTTCCCACTAAGCTAGGAGGCATAAGTTGCGTGTCACAAATAATGTCAACTAACACTAATTACACTTCCCTTGAAGAGAGGGTCTATTCTTTGAAAGCATGCTTGTTCAGAGTTTTTCTTTATCAGACCATGGAGCTGCATATATCTTGTTAAAAATCAACTCATAGCAAGAGGCTGATGGTTTCCATGGCAGCCAAGTATATGGCACCTTGGCTTAGTAATTTCAGAGGCAACAGGATCTTCTGAATTGCACTCCTCTTAAACCAATTGGACTAGCATTCTTTTTCTGGCCCCTCAGGGAGCCTCCTTTTAAACCCCAAACAGGCTTCAGGAAGTACTGAAATACCCCATAACTAAACTAGGTAGCATCTATATAATGGCCCTCCTTGGGAGCAGAGGTCATCCCTATCTTTAGCTAGTATTGCCTCCATCCAGAGTGAATACCTGAAGGCCAGATCACTCCTTGGTATCTGCCATTTTTCATGCAAGTAATAAAGGTCACTTGTCCCCATGAGTATGGTCTTGAAATAGTATCTTCTGAGCATAATGTTCCTGTTACAGACTCTAGAGTACTTGGCTAATTCCCACTGACAAAATTAGGTAGATTAGCCTGCAGAGGGAACCCGAATGATAGAAAAATTGGCTATTACCTAAGGAGAAGCCTAGAATACAAAGAGAGATGATACAAAGGTAAACCTTGTATTCCATGTCCTACAGCACAATGTATTTGAAAATGACATTGCACATGTATACAGATATGAATGTTAGCATGCTGTTTATGAAAAGTCCTCTTGTCTTTTTCTCTTTATGGGCCGCAATGGGTTGTTTAAATGTGGCTTTTGCTCACTGAACCCCAGTTTTCTTTCTAGGTCTTCCCTATCCCCATTACCCATCCTCCTTTTGTGACAGTAGATCTGTTGGGGTTTTTTTTTCCTTATCTTTCTCTTTAGGCTAGTTGTCTAGCAGCCACACACAACTTTTGAAAATTTCCTTTTTTTTTTTAAACAGAATGATTATATTTAAATATACAACTTCTTTACAACCAAAAAATAAAACAACACAGTAAAATAACAAAAACATGGCATTTCATTTGCAATGCATGCAATATGGTTAACATTTTAGTCATAAATGAGCTCTTAAGAAACCAGTTACAAAGACAGTAATAATCCAAGGGAACTGGAAAAATAGAAAATGAAATAATACAAATGACAAGAACTAAGAAAAAGTCATATTATATTAATAGTAGCACTTACCACTTATAAGTGCCTTTTATGTTCTAGGTAAGTGCTTTACACATATTTGTTATTTCATTTTAACTTAACAGTAACTCTGGGAAGTAAAATTTGTTTCTACTTTACAGGTAATAAAACTGAGGATCACTGACATAACACACGGAGCCGGGGTGGAGCTGTCTATGCCACACTTCAGAGATTGTTTTTTAATTTTTTTTTTTTTAAAGCAAAGGAAGGGAAGGAGAAAGGCAGGGAGAGAAACATTGATCAGTTGCCTCTCACATGCCCCCAGACAGAGACCAAATGTGCAACCCAGGCATGTGCCCTGCCCAGGAACCAAACTCATGACCTTTTGGTTTGTAGGCTGGCACTCAATCCACTGAGCCACATCAGCCAGGGCCATACTTCAGAGATCTTAATTACCTCACAATATGCAAAGCACTAGAATGTGGCAAGCAAATTCTAAATTGTTGGGACTTCCTGCCTCCTTGTGGGATCCTCATCAAAGTCCTCTTTCAGAACATATGTGCACATATAAAGAGTTCATTCTTAAAGGGAGATTTAGTTGTGTAAGAGAGATGGCGCAAGGGATGTGTAGGTCCCTCTGACTTTTAGAGATGACCACTTTGGATGGACTAGCATTTATTTCTCTTCCACACAGCCATTCACCATTTTTTTATCTTTTTTCTCACCTTTTTTAAATATTATTACCCCACTCTCCTGCATGATGTTTATGTTAGACAATTTCTATGAGGTTATGCTTTGTCTTCACCAAAGGAAGAGGCATCATAAGAATTGCAGCTACAACTGAAAATCCCATCACTTGCAGAAAGTTAGTTCAGGTACTGCGGCAGCCTGCTGTGCAGATCAGCACGTCCTGGCTAGAATTCCACATAAACATTGCATTCTGTTAGCAGACAATACTGGTAAAATTACTCTCTGTTCATATCATGTGGAAAACAGCAAGAAAACCTATCAATTAATACTTTCATAAATTTTATTGCTGGTAAGGTAACTGTCCAGATAATTAGCAAAGACTAGGGATTGGCAAGCTATGCCCCACGTGCCAGCTGCCTGTTTTTGTAAATAAACGTTTTTTAAAATATTTTATTTATTTATTTTTAAAGAGACGGGAAGTGAGGGAGACAGAGGGAGAGAAACATCAATGTGTGGTTACCTCTCACACACCCACCACTGGGGACCTGGCCCACAACCCAGGAATATGCCCTGCCTGGGAATTGAACCAGTGACCGTGTGGTTCGCAGGCCAGCACCCAATCCACTGAGCCACACCAGCCAAGGCTGTAAACAAACTTGTTGGAACCATCATGCTCATTCTATATTATCCACCACTGTCTTTTGCAGTACAGTAGAATTGAGTAGTTCCAACAAAAACCAGATGATCCATAGAACCTGAAGCATTACCGTCTGCCCCTTCACAGAAAGTTTGTCAACTCCTGGCATAGGTTAAATGTACTATGTCTACAAATCCTTGTTCCCTCCCAACCCATTTTCTTTTCTGTAGGACTTAGATTATAGCTAATCTTAGACAGTATGGAACTCATAGTAGTCAATTTGTCCTTTAAATTCTTTCCTACTCAAATTAAGTTCATCAAAAAAGCATATTCACAAATTGGGCTTATGTATGCAGAAAGAATTATGTTTTATATGCCTCATTACAGTTATTCATACATCATATATGGTTCTCTCAATTTATTCCTTAGATTTAGCCATTCTCAAGTATCCAGAAAGTTATAACTCATGTTTCCTAATTATGACTTTACCATAATTTTAATCCATTGCCCCCCTCTGTAGCATGAAAGGAGTCATAGACAATATGGAAACAAATGGGCAGGACTGTCTTCCAGCAAAACTTTGTTTACCAAAACAGGCAGCAGTCTGGATTCAGCCCGTGGGACATAGCATGTGATCCCCACTCTATGGTATACATATACAAAGACTTTAGAACAAAAAGACTTGAGATGATACATTAAAGCAAACATTCAGGGTGAGTTTTACTCACACTGCATGAAATACAATAACAATAACACAGCTATACTAGAATCAGGACAGGAAAGTGTCTCATGATTGGTGTTTTATGTGTATGATCTAATAGTTATCTAGACATTGGCTGGAGTTCTCAGAAGAGTGAGAGCATTTTTATGCATCACATTATCACCATCCCTTGAAGTTCCTATTCCTTACCATAGTGACTTTGTCTTTATATTTATGTTGTTTGTTCTTAAGGTTACATTATTAACTCTAGTGTTTACTTTCTTTACCAGCAAATATCTTCTACCCATAAGTGAATCTAATACATAGGTTACTTCTAATATAAATCACTATTCTAATAGTTATGGTAGGGGGCTGCGGTTTTGATCATTTGCATGTCAAATCCTAAATTTATCTTTCAGGTTTAGAAGGAATCAGTTCTTCTATTGAAATCTCAAAATGTGATCTGGATAAAGGAACAGGTATCTTAGTCAAGGAAGTGATTGTTGAACATGGAGGTAAACTTTTTCTTTGACCTTTTTGTCGTATTTGTTGTATTTAACAGATTTCCTAATAATGAAACTACCTTGCCTTCCTAGAATGAAATTTTATACTTTTCAAGGATTTTGGATTAGGTTTGCTAAACTTGCTGGTTTAAATTTTATTTTTCTGTTTTATACGATTTTTTAAAAATATTTTGTTTCTCTGTTCAAAAGTGAGTTTTTGGGTTGGGGTGGCAATCTGTCAGTTTTTGTGGGTCATGTGGTTTATGTCATTGTAGCACAAAAGCAGCCACAGATAATACATAATGAAGAATGTGTCTGTATTCCAATAAAACCCTAGTTATTATAAAAAACACGGTGCCCTAGCTGGTATGGTTCAGTGGACCGAGCGCCAGCCTGTGAACCAAAGGGTCACCAGTTTGATTCCCAGTCAGGGCACATGCCGGGGCTGCAGGCCAGGTTCCTGGCAGAGGGTGCACAAGATGCAACCATACATTGATGTTCCCCCCCTCTCCCTCCCTTCCCCTCTCAAAAAATAAATAAATAAATATCTTCTTCTTTTTTTTTTTTTTTTAAGAAAAGACCAGTAGAGTACCACTGAAAAATGTCTCAGGTTAAAAAAAAAGAAAATGGTGGCTGCACTTAGCCCATGGGCTGTAGTTTGCCAACACCTGGTCTGTGATATTTTATTCCTAGAGCCTTTGCTTTCATAGTTTCCACTTAGTCATAGTGGGCTTCCTCACGTTTGTGCCTCTCATCTCCACTTGTAACCCCTTAGAGCACTTTTTCACCTGCAGTCTCTTCTACTGATTACCTGTTTCTATCTGTGTTCCACAATTTTGTTTCTGAGAACACAGGTGGTAGCCAGACCATATGCTTTGCATGTTATTAGTATCCTGTTCTGGAGTGTGAAAGGGATTTGCTTGGCTGTGTACCTTGTTGCTTCAATATAACTAATTCCAAATAGTTATATTCCTTTTCGAGAGTGTCTTCCTAGCAATCCAAATTTTATTGCAAGAAATGGGCTCATTTGGATCCGTTTAAGAAGTTTATAGGAGGTAAAGGGGGTATAAGGGGGATAAATGGTAATGGAGAAAATACAATAAAAATAATAAATTAAAAAAGAAGTTTACAGAATTCGACTGTTTTGGTATCATTAATGTGATTCAGCTTTTTTTCTCTGGTTTTCTGCCTGACATGTTGCCTCTGCTACCAACTAATTTTGTTATACTTTGGCTTCCTCTACCTCCTAGCTACTGAATACTTACGTTTTTTTCTTATTCATAACTTTAGTGTTTGCAACCTGTACAGACATGGCTTTTATTTTACTTCATGTCTCTGTCTGCAGACTATCTGCTTTAGCTCTTGTTCTTCCCGCTGCCCAGTTGTCATTAAGTTGAGAATCTGATTGTCTTGGGTTGTTAAGTTTCCTGAGACTGTAGACGTAGCAGTTGCTATTTGGCCAATCTAGGACATTTTCCCCTATTGAGTGCTAAATGCAAATGTATTTCTTCCCCTTAGTATGATCCCAAACTGCTTTAGACTAATACAACTCAGATATCGGAAGTATATCCAGAATCATTTAACTGCTCTAAAACTAGAAGGTAACCAATCCAGTCATGGGACATCCAGAAGAATCATACTGGACCATTTTGGGAAATAAGTTTCACAAAGAACTACACAACCCTATTTTCCTCATATCCATGAGTCTCTTTCTGGTACTAACCGGCTTCCTTATCCTCTCTTCTTTATCCTATTGCTGATGAATAGTTTCTGCTTATTTTCAGCTTCTGATTCCTGTACTTCCTGACAAGTTGATCTTAATTAAATCCTTCCTGGTATGTTCTTTCATTATATATTCATTTATTTCAGATGCTGAATTTCTGTTCCTCTGTTTTTCCCCAGTTTTAAATTGAATCTAATTTCTTACCTCATTCTTATTTGGGAACAGCTTTCATGTCATGATATATTATAAGCTATTGACCAGTTTGTGGATGTCTGTCTTCTGATCCTTACTTACTTGATCTGGCCAACCATAGATTTGGAAGCGGGATAGTTGGTCACAAGAATGCTTTCTTGGTCAAGTTTGTTTACAGTACAGTTTCCTTTGGAAGAATTTTGGGCATGGTAACACTATGAAATGTCTACTTTATTCTCTCTGGTTTAGCTCTCTACAGCTGCTTGACTGCAGCATCTACCAAGTCTCTCAAAGTGTCACCTTCCAGTGGACATAAAATCTAAATTTTGCCCTGTTTGGGTGGCTCAGATGGTTGGAATGTCATCTTGTGCACCGAGAGGTTTCAGGTTCCATCCCTGGTTGGGGCATCTGTGAGAGGCAACCAATCAATGTTCCTCCCTCCCTCCCTCCCTCTGTCCCTCCCTCCCTAAAAATCAATGAACATCCTTAGATGAGAATTTTAAAAAATAAATAATTTTGAAGAAATCTAAATTTCATGATATTACAATTTTGTTTGTACAACATCTTTGAAACAAAGGAGATTCTCTACAAGATCATAGCCAATTCCCTAAATTACATTCCTCCTGAGGGGCTGTTATGCTTCTCACTACTGGTTGGGCACTTCTGATTGCTAGAAACAAATTCATTGAGATAAAGACAGGTTATTGGCTGGCCACTTGGGAATAATGGTGACTGAGATCACATGAAATTCCAAATATAGGAGACCTTAATATGGTTATACTCCTTAAGGATGGTGCCTGGCTCCAGAGAAGCTCTGGGAAACTCAATAGCAGGAGTTTGTAGATCTTCATGTTAGGATAGTGCCACTTACACAACTGAGCTACTCTGCCGTTCTGCTTATCTTTTGTGTTTTATTTCTCCCATTACTTATTGGCTTGCCTGTCCACTTTGTTTTATCTTATTTTCCTACCTCATATTTTTAGTTTATTAATAAGGCCCTGCTTACTTAGGGCTTCACCTTTGTCATAAGTTTTGCTTGCTTGTGGCTCCGATGGCCTTATCTCTGCATTGTGTTAGCTTCCTGTGTGTCCTTTCAGCCTCAGTTCCCTTTGTTAACTGTGATTAGTTTTGGTAGCCCAATTCTAATTCCTGAGAACATAAATTTATTAGCCTCAACTTACCCTAGTTTAGTTAGATATTTATATACCAACAGCAGCAGTTTGTGAGGCTTCACTTTCATGTTCCGCAATTACTACAATTTTTACACCCAGTCTTTGCTTGGTTTATTCTAGCTTCTAATGTATCCATTAATCACATACTTCTCCATCCTTTATTTCAGGGGTTGCAACTTGCAAATGCCTGTAGAATCCAGATGGAGTATGTCAACATAAGAAACATTCAAACCTGTAGAGAATTTTTGTGAGTTTATTTGAGCCAAACTGACGACAATTGCCGAGAAGCAAAACCTCAGCGGATTGAGAAAATGCTCCGGAGAATGGAAGTTTTGCACCTTATTTTATATATTACAATCGAAAGAGGATGTGTAAGGGGCTTTCATGAAATCCACTGGTCATAGATTACGGTGGCAGGAGAAAGCAAAGTGGGGAAACCTCTGGGATTGGATAAAAGATAAAATGATAACATGTACTTCTTACACTGGTGGGTATAACATAGTTAACAGTCAACAATGAACATGGTAACAATAACAATGAGGGGATTTGTGGTCTCCCCAGGTGCAGTGCCTGCACTTTGAGGGCCTGGAAAAAAGAAATTTGACATTACAAAAGTATGTTAGCATAGATGCAAAAAGACAGGCTCAGTTAAGGTAAAGATTGACCTTTGTTAGAAAAAAAATACCAGCCTAGGACATGACTACCCACTATGAACTGCTTTTAGTCAGAAAGTTCTAATTTCAGACCATGTTTATGTCTCTGAGTTTGTAAGGCCACCATGCAGGCCTCCCCTGAGCTTGTCAGGTTTAGTGTGGCCCCTTTTCTTCCACAGGTAGATGTGTAAGATGGTTCTGATATTTATTTTCTTCCTTTTTATTGAAACACTGCTTTGGGTTTCTTTTTTATTGTTGTTCTTGTTTTGTTTTGTGTTGGGCTTTTCTTTTGTTTATCTACTTTTGATAGAGACATTGGAAAACAGATTACTCTTAAAATGAAAACAAGAGTGCCAATGTAATGGTAAAGAGAAAGTAATGCTTTTAAGAGAATATAGGGAGTATTTGGGATTGTGGTCCACTGGAACATGCACCTTTCATCCAAAGGAGAAGGCTTTTTACTCCTTGGTCCCTGCTGATATTTGCCCAGTGGGAATACAGACCAATATTGACAGGATTTCCAGCTTTCTACAAGGAACCTGATTGTGAGCTGTTAGCTTAATTTTTTTTTAATGCCACAGGCCCACACAGTATGTTTATAAATGCTTTTATAAACTCGTAACTTTTGCTTCTTTGTAATTTTAGCATATTTGTAGTGTTACCTTTTTCCAATGTGGTATGTGTTTCATACTCTGCCTGGGCAGTATTTAAAACTAGGTCACAGTTTTGAATGGAGTTGTATAGATTAGGGAAAAATAAAATATAGAATGTAAATATGAAAACACTAGCCTCTACCTGGCAAAGGGTAAGTACTTTGTGAAATTTTGGTTCCAGCTATATGTTTGTATGCATGTGTATCTTCCACCCAATCTAATTGTATTTCTTACTGTGGATTAAACAGTTTTACAAGATTTTGTGACACATTGTGAGCAAACTGACATCCTTTGGAGTAAGCCCCTTCTGTAGACAGGTCTCCTTTGGCCTGCACAGTGTCTCTTAGAAATCTCATGGTTGCCAGGGACAGGGGAGACTGGGAAAATGGGAAGTTGTTTAATGGGTATAGGGTTTCAGTTTTAGAAAATGAAAAAGGTTTGGAGAATGTTTACTGAACAATGTGAATATATTTGACACTGCTGAACTGTACATTTAAAATGGTAAGATGGTAAAAAGGAGTACAAAAATAGCTCATTAATCAGCAAAGTTACACAGTCATCAGAATATCCTTGGGCATGTTAAATGTAACATCTTCAGATTTAAAAGAAGTTGTATCACCATCTTTGATGCAATCTTCCATTCCTGTGTATGAAGGGGCAGTAAACTATAACTCAAAGGCCAAATGTAGCCCACTGCTTGTTTTGCTTTTTTTTAGACCTTATGAGCAAACAATAGTGTTTACATTTCTTAATGGTTGAAAATAATCAAAAGAGAATAATAGTTCATGATATGCGAAAATTATACAAAATTCAGATTTCAGTTTTATTAGAACACAGCCAAACATTCATTTATGTATTGTCTGTGGCTGCTTGTACGCTACCGGATAGAGTAGTTGTGACAGAGACCAAATGGCCAGCAAAGGCTCAAATATTTACTAACTGGTCATAAACAGAAAATTGAAGTTGCTCTATTGCAGCAGTTGCCAGATCCTTCACAATATCATCTTTGATGGCTTTAAATGCCCAATTAACAGCTTTGTCATGGACTACTATTGATTTTTATCATTCTATTCTAATATGTGAGGAGATTCTTACTTCCTTATTCCCTGCTGTGACACCCTAACCAATTACAGAAAACTCATTCTCAGTAAACTTTAGTTGTGGCTAGAATCCTGTTAGCAATTTCTGGTATTTATTTTCAAGCAACAGACTTCTGTTGGGCCAGCCAGGCAATTGGGACCACCCACAGCTGTGTATGGCCAGCCTTTAAGGTAGACTAAGATCTCACAGAGTCCAAATAAAGAAAATTCTATATTTGAATAAAGACAATTAAAAAATAAAGAAAATAACTCTGACTGGTGTGGCTCAGTTGGTTGGGCACTGGTCCACAAAGCAAAAGGTGTCCAGTTCAGTCCTTGGTTAGGGTGTATACAAGAGGCAACCAGTCAATGTTTCTCACACCAATGTTTCTCTCTCACCCTCCCTTTCCACGCTCTAAAAATAAATAAATAAAATGTTTTAAAAGATAAAATAAAATGCTGTTTCCTTTCTGAAGAGAACGGTTTGAGGATTGGAAATGGTTCCAAGACAGATCTGGAAATATTTGCAACCGGGGTTTGTATCATTCGTCCAGTATGCCACCTTTAACATCATTTTTTAAAATAAAAAAATACATATTTCAACTATACAACATGATAATTGATCTTCATGGTGAAATAACTAGTCAAACGTTATCATCTTACCTACTTGCCATTTTTTGTGTGTGATAAGAGCATCTGAAACCTACTCTCAGGAAATTTTTGGTATTCAATACAGTATTAGCTGTGGACATTATGCTGTACATCACATGTTGAAATTCATCTTTGTCTCTGCTTTTTTTTTTTTTTACCTTCCTCATTGTTTACTTAAGTTTTAGTTTACCTCCTAGATTTGTATTCTGCTTCCTCATAAATTTTCAACTACTCATCACTAAACCTTGTTTACTGCTACAGTGTCCTTGGATCTATCGCCCAACTCTGTCCTTTAAGACTCAACTGTTTTGGGCCTCACTTTTTGCATTTCAGAAACTTTATTCCTCAGTACAAGAATTTCAGTGGATTAGCTCACCTCTGCTTGGATCGTCATTTTTTGAGTCATTCAGTGGCACCACACTTGGCTGTAGTGTGTCCCACTGCTGGTACATTCTGCTTTGAATGACAGGACAGGTCACATTTTAAAATCCAGTGCCTTCTAAGACTGCATCTTTAGTAGAATTATGGGTGGAACAGTTTGCCTTACATGTGAGTATGGCTGTCACTTGATTCAGATGTGTTTGTATTGTATTCCTGTATCTTGACCACTAAGCAGATATACCCCTCATCTCATATATTCATTTCTAAATATGAATCTAGCTGTACTTTTCCAGCTTTTACTTAAGCAGAAATGTAAAGTCAGTCACAGCCAGTTGCTATAATCTGAACTTACGTTATAAGGTTACTTTAGAAATTTACCTGCCAGTTGCAGAAGCACCTACCTATCTGTGATCTTCCTTGACCACTTGAGTTTTTCCTGCTTTTGTAATTTTACCAAAACTTACCTTCATTGGATGTGTGGTCCTGTGATAATAACTTTGCCACAGTTCCTATAGGCTCTTAACATTCCAGCCTAGGTTGTGATGGGGTGTGTCTGTTCACTATCCCACTACCAAATAACAACCAGGTCTTAAATTTTTCACAATTCCTACTGCAGGTTTGTTTATGTAGCCCAGCTCTATACAATTTTCTAAATCACGTAGGATTTCTGGGTTCAAGGGGTAAGACACAGGCTTAGCTCAAGAAATAAATATTTATCATATAGCTAGACATAGTAAGTGCAGAGGAGGAACACTTTCCTCTACATTCAAGGTTCTAATAACCAAAAAGACATGAGACAGATTATCAAGAGAAAAGAACCAAATTTAAGGCATACATATGTATGGGAACCCTGCATATGTGAGAGAGTCAGAGACCCATTGCACAGGAGAGGTTCAGATAGAAAGGCGAATGAGGATACAAGACATCCCAAGCTAAGGAAGAGGTTGTGCACCTTGGGGTCTTCAAAGGGTCATTGCAGGATGCTAAGGAGAGCAGATGTTTAGTAAATAGAAGTTTGCCCTGCCATAAAGGTGGGTCAAAAGGAGATTGTGGCTGATGACGTCTTTTTATGGGCAAGGCCCCTAATTCAAGTTCTAGGTAGTTAAAGGGAGGGACAGGAATTTCTCTTGAGCCTGAAGATAAAATTGTCTTCAGCTGAAAACAATCTGTATACCACAGAGGCACTTCTTGGGATAGTCATTATGGACCCTCCACATTATGCACCCACAGTAAGGAAGATCAGAATTTCATAAGAATCTTAACAATAGTGTGGCATGGAACTGCATCTGTGGCAGCTCTATGAACTTAAACAAGTGGAGTTTGTGGACATTTTCTGCTGTTTCATTTACTCAATTCGGCTCTTCTTCCTATTTGCCTGCCTTACCATTCAGAGTTTTCTCACTCATCTTCCTTATGACTGGCTTTGCTATTACCCTATCTTTGGTGAGGCTTTTAGTTTCAGCTTTTACTGCTAATGATTTAGTTCTCATTGCTTTTATTCAAATTCCAAAGACTGAGAATCTAATAGTCCTGGTTTATCTTTATTTGTGCCCCACTTTTTCATGCTTACACATGTCATAGGCTGCTGGCAATGTATGGTTTGGTCCCATCAACTGTGCTCAGTGGAGAGGGTATAATACTGGATAATGTGAAACAAAACCTGGTCATCAAGAGCTGTGCTACAGCTGGGACAATGGACAGGATGGTGATCTTTATAAAGAAGTGGGTGTACTTTTGATAGGAACCTGAACTGATGTTGTTTAGTTTAATGGTTCTCAAACTTCAAGATCTATGTTAATCCATGTTATTGGTCTAATCGATGTTATTCCATATTTGTTGGAATGATAACTGAGCACCATGTCTGACTATAACAGACAAAATCATGCTTCCCAGGATTAGCACCCTATGGCTATATCAGAATTGGCACATCATTGCAAGAAAAAAAACTTTCAAACCCTGCTTTACTTATTTCTTTGAAGTTGCTATAATACAGCCACTACCAGTTGCTTCAGAATTTCACCCTAAATGGGTGTATGTATGAGTCACGAAGGCAATTGTATAATTAGTGGCTTTGCCACATTAACCTGGAATTCTAAAAACAAAATGTTTCACCCTGCTATATGGAGTGGATTGTGCATGATTTTCACTCCATAATCACACCCTAACAATTTCAAATGTTTCATATTTCTGCTGAGGGTCTATATCATACTAGTGTATATCTGATACAAATTTCTATACTAAGTTTGCTCTTTTGGTCTGAAGAAGTGAATCACCCTGCTTCACTAATAGCAGCTTATTATATGTATACATGTAGAACAAGGAGGAAGATGAGGATTTAATGGGAATCTAAATACAGGAACAATATTGAGTATGAGAAATGGATTCAAGCAGCTCTGGGCAACTTAACAGCAGGTATGTTTGGATCAACACTCACGTGCTACACCATTGGCATCACTGAGCCACTCTGTATTTGCTTCCCTCCTAGCTCAGTGGTTCTCTATTAGAGCAGTACATTAGAATCAATGTGAGAACTTTAAAAATAAATCAGAGCAACATACTGTGATTTAATTGGTCTGGAGTGGGTTTTAAAGCTCCTTTCCACTCTTCATGCTTTTGCTATTCATTGATTTCCCCAACCTTTATTGCTCTACTTTCTAGCTTCTGCTTACTTGTACTCATGGATTGTAGGACCTTGTAAATTTGCCTTCTCTTGGCCTTCATGAACTCCTTTAGAGAAGTGACTGGGCATGACAGCATAATTGAAGTGTCTGTTGCAACAGTTGGCAAACATTTTCTATATAAGTCCAGACAGTACCTACTTTAGCCTTGTGGGCCACACAGTCATTGAAATTATTGTTGCAATTATTCATTTGGAGAATCAACTATAGATAATGAATGCAAAATCTATACCCAGATTTGACCCATTGGCTGTAGTTGCTGGCCCCTGGCCTATTCTTTCCTTGTTTATACTAAAATTTCATATTCTTTGTCAGTATTTGCTTAGCTACAATTCTCCAATTCATCACTGACTTGACTTTAAGAATTATTTTGTAAAATTCTGCTTTATAAGAGGAATCTGATGAACGAAAATAAACTAACAAAATTAACCACAGGCATGGAAACATGGAGCAGACTGAAAGTGACCAGAGGGGAGGGGGGAGGAGGGCAACAGTGGAAAGAAGGGGAAGGGACTAGACAAAGAACATGTATGAATGACCCATGGACATAGACAACAGAGTGGGAATTGACTGGGAGCGGGGGTGGGGTCGGATGGGGAGGGCAAAGGGGGAAAAACTGGGAGAACTGTAATAGAAAAACAATAAAAAATGATTTAAAATTCACTTGGGGATACTGTAATAACATTTCTTTTAAAAAAATTTATTATTTTTAGAGAAGGGGACCAAAGGAGAAAGAGGGAGAGAAACATCAATGTGTGGCTGCATCTCGTGCACCACTCACTGGGGACCTGGCCTGCAACCCAGGCATGTGCTCTGACTGGGAATTGTACCCACAATGGATATTGTAATAACATTTCATTTGTAAATTCATGTGGTCAGAATTAACATTTTTGCA